TTTAATTTTATTTTTTAGATAGATTTTCAGGAAGTGTTTTCAGGTAATCAAATAACACGTATTTAGTGAAGTATATAAATTCCTCCCTGTATTGATTACTAAAGTCGAGTCGAGCTGCTGCAGACAATAAGCCAAACACATGTGTCATCAGATTTGACATTCCTCCCTGTATTGATTACTAAAGTCGAGTCGAGCTGCTGCAGACAATAAGCCAAACACATGTGTCATCTTAAAGATTTGACATCTGATTGACAGCTGACATTTGATTGGTTATATTCTTCCACAGCCTGAACTTTCAGAAACATGAATGTGAGTCTGACTGTAACTGGAAAGTTTTGGTCATCAGCTCAAACTTTGTCCGCAGTTTCCCCTCGTTGTAAAGCCAAGCCACACTCCTCTATTCTGCTGCTCTCACACCGCCAGAGACGAGCAGAAAATAGATGAGCGGATCTTTTTTTTACAGCCGCGTCTGTTTGCTGCAGAATTCTGAAATAGCTCTTGTTCTTTGTAGCAGAAGAGTTTGCAGTTGGCAGAACAGACTGGCTTTGAAATTAAAAAAGCTGTCTGGCCGCTCGCTGCTGGAAAGAAAGAAAGAAAGAAAGAAAGAAAGGAGTTGGACTGGAGTTGAAGTGCTGAATCAGTGTGGGATGCTTGTGTTTTTTTGTTCTATTTATATCAGAATAGATGTCAGTACTCTAAATATACTCACTAGATAACACACTGTAATGATTTCATTTAAAGCATTTCTGTTAACAAACTCGTGAAAATTATCAAAATTTGAGCAAATACGATCAGGTTGAGCAATAAGTTAATTTCTGGCATTTTTATTCTTACAAGGACATTGGTGCATATGGAAGCTTTTTTCTGCCAAAAAGGTAATTTAAACTTTTTATCTTCCAATTCTGACTTTTTTCTCAGAACTGTGAGATATAAACTCAGATTAACGAGAAAAAAGTCAGAATTGCGAGACACAAAGTCAAAATTATGACAAAAAAGCCAGATTTGTGACATATAAAGTCAGACTTGTGAGATATAAACAGATTTATGAGAAAAAAGTCAGAATTACGAGAAAATAGTCAGAATTGTGAGATATAAAGTCAGAATTGCGAGAAAATAGTCATTTGCGAGATATAAAGTCAGAATTGTGATATAAAGTCAGAATTGCGAGAAAATAGCCAATTGCGAGATATAAAGTTAGAATTGCGAGATATAAATTAGAATTGCGAGATATAAAGTCAGAATTGCGAGACACAAAGTCAGAATTGCGAGATATAAAGTTAGAATTGCGAGAAAATAGTTAATTGCAAGATATAAAGTTAAAATTGCGAGATATAAAGTCAGAATTGCTAGATATAAAGTCAGAATTGCGAGATATAAAGTTAAAATTGCGAGATACAAAGTCAGAATTGCGACAAAATTGTATATTGCAAGATATAAAGTTAGAATTGCGAGATATAAAGTCAGAATTGCGAGAAAATAGTCAATTGCGAGATATAAAGTCAGAATTGCAAGAAAATAGTCAATTGCGAGATATAAAGTCAGAATTGCGAGAAAATAGTCAATTGCGAGATATAAAGTCAGAATTGCGAGATATAAACAGATTTGCGAGAAAAACGTTGGAATTGTGAGAAAATAGTCAGAATTGTGAAATGTAAACTCATCATTCTGACCTTTATCTGTGAATTGGGAAAGTGCCCAAGCAACATTGCGCCGTGTATCATCACCTTGAGTTTATATCTCGCAATTCTGATTTTTTTCAAACAATTCTGAGTTTTTCTTGC